CAGATTCAGTGACTTGCCCAAGGTCACCAGCTGGTTAGTGGTGGAGATGGAACTTGAATCCAGGTCATCCATAACAGCACATTATTGAAAGCAAACAACCACACCCCAATCCTGCCTTCACGCAGACACCGACATGCACACACCTTCACAAACTCCTCAGTGCCCTTCTGGCGGAAGGTCCACTCCGTGAAGGTCTCAGCAGTAGTCTCGCTGCGGCGCTTGCAGGAGATGCACAGGATTTTGAAAGTCTCTCCATACACGGCCTCTGTCTCGGAGTCCACCTCCACACAGCCCGCCCAGGCTGAGGACACTGCAGAGACACCAGGGGCACCCATCACCCTCGGCCAAGCCAGACCTGCTGGTCACTGGCCCTGTGGCCCCTCGGAAACCATCTGTTCCCCTCAATAACAAATGGACAGAACTGGGCACCGAGACTGGCCTTATCACTCACTGAGTGCCCTTGGCAAGCCACCCATCTGCTCTGAGCCTCAATTTTCCTCTGTGGATAGTGAGGAAAGCAATTATTTCTGCTTCTGGAAGCTGCTGAGCAGATTCCATGAGTTTGGTAAGGTCCCAGCAGTGGGCTGGCACACAGAAGGCCCCCAATCAGTAGGACTGTTACTGTGCTCAGTAACTCCAAGTCTGTGCTGCCCAACTACCCCTTCCTTCTTCAGAAGGCCACTTGGCTGGGATACTGCAGCATCTAAGTGGTGTGTATAGAATTCCAACTGCGTTAGAAGGTAAAGGTGGCAGTCATTTCTACCATTATTGCTCTGCAAAACCAGCCAGCCCCAGAGAAGGCTGGGAGAAGGCAAGTCCTCAGAGAGGGAGCTGAGTGCTGGAACCAGGGCAGACCCACACCCCATCCCTACTCCCCAGTGCCACAAGTTCCTGTCATCCACCCCTCCCCAACTTCTCCTCACTCTGCCCTTGGGCTCCCACCTCCTGTTAGCTTCTTTAAACTCACCAAGCTGTTTTCTGCCTCAGAGCCTCTGCACCTCCACTGGATTCTAGTGCCTTTGGGTCCCTCCTCCACATTCTTACTTGCCGCCTCCTTCCTGACCCCCAAAGCTCACTAGTTAATTCTGTGTCTTTCCAGCTCCAGTTCTGGGTCTTTTTCTCTGTCCCTGAGTCTCTTCCTCTACTAATCTAAGGGGCTTCTTGTCCTCCTCCTCTGCGGTCTCTTTCAATCTCTCCAAGTAACTCTGTCTCTGACTCCCCCTCTTCATCTCTCCTGGGGTCTCTCTGAAGATCCCACCACTCTGTGTTCTCTTTTCAGTCTCAGACACGCTCTCGGCTGTCTCTTTCTCTCTCCACCTTTCCCTGTCCACCAGTGTCTCCATCTCTTTCTGGCTCTCTTTATTTTCTCTCTCCACAGTTCGGATGAACTCTCTTAATCTCTCTGGCAAACTGCATCTCTCCCATCACTTTCCGCCCCTTTACTTCCATCTCCCCAGTCCCCCAGCGGAGCACTCCGGAGTACTCCGGGTCCTTCTGTGTCTCTCGCTCCTTCCCTCTCCTGCCACCATCTCTCTCTGTCTCTCCAGCTCTCTTCTCAATCTCCCGCAGCCGCCACCCCTCCCACTCCCCACCCCCCCACCCCCGCCCGCCGCGGCTGTGGGTGTCACATTGCAGCCTGCGGGGCTCCAGGAGCAGCTGACTCCGCGTTTCCTCGCCCCCGGCTGGACGCCCGAAGCCACGAAGCTGTGCCAGCAGGACTCCCGTCGGCTCTGGACCACCCACACCTTCAACCCTCCCCCAAGCTCCGCACCCGGCGCGCACAACTTCTGAAGGGACTCAGGTCGGGGGATGAGCGGGAGCGGCCCTCGCCCCACTCTCCGGGGTCCCGAGCGCGAACCCAATACCCCATTGCGCCTCGCTGCGCCCCTCGCCTCGAGGCTCCGCGCACTCACCCAGCGCCGTGCCGACCACGAAGGCCAGCAGTGTCCCCATGACTGCGTTGCGCGCGCTGCACCCCTCTCCCAGGCCGCCGGTATTAATAACCAGGCGAGAGGCGGCGGGACCCGGCGGCGGTTCTGATGTCCCCGGGAGCGCGCGGGCGCAGCAGCTGCGGCTCTGGGACTAGTGAGGGGGGAGGAGGGGGGGCGCGGCCCCCCCGCTCCGGTTACCGCCAGGGGCCCAGCCCCGGGGACCGGCGTCCGGGCATCCCCACCGCGCAGGCGGCGGCCGCTGCTCGGGCTGTTGCGCTGGCGCACACAGCCGGGCTCATCCACCAGATGCCCCGACCTAGACCCCCTTCAGCTCGGGCGCTCAGGCTCGGGCAGTGCTCTCCTGCGCACTGCAGCGGCAGCGGTGGCGGCCCGAGAGGGAGGAGGGAGAGGGAGGGGGCGGGATGAATCACCGCGGGGGGGGGGGGAGGGCGCGGCCGCCTAGCCTTTGCCGCAGCGGCCCGGGTGGCGCCGCTGCACCGGCTTCTCCGAGTGGTGCAGGGACCACGGCTTCCCAGCACGGGCGCATTGCCTGGGTGTCCGGCCCCTCCAGACGCTAGGGACCTCCAGGATTAGAGTCTGGAAAAGGTCACCCCCAGAATCACAAGGGGGCAGAGAGGGTGTTTTGGGGACAGGGCTTCAGACTTCACGTTATAGAGGTCATCCCCATGGGAATTAGGGGGTCTTGAAGGGACGTACAAGTAACCTCTCTCTGGTACCCCTGGCATCAGGCCTGAAGGTGTGGGGAACTCAAGTGGGCAGGGGTGGGGGGTTTGGAGGTCAGGCTAGGACTACCTATGATACTCCAGACCCCTCTGAAGCAGGACCCAAACGAGAGGCTGCCCTGGGGGCTTGGGTGGTATCTTTCAGGAGGATGCCCCTTCTTTGTCTTTGACATCATCTTCTATTTCTTTCTGCCCTCCACTCCCAAGCTGCTTGCCCAGGTCCCTGCCTTCCCAACAGAGCAAGCTCATGTCCGCCTCTGGGCCCTTGCCCTTGCTCCTCCCTTTGCCTGCGCCACTATCCTCCCAAGTAACCGGAAGGTTCACACCAGGTGCTCCTGCAGCTTCTAGCTTCAATGTCACTTTTGTCCGGTCTCTAGTCCATTCCAAGGAAACTGCTTCCCCAGTCCCTTACTTGACCTCCTTTACTCCCTCCCCCGCCCCCCACAGCAGTTGTCACCAGACATTGTATTCTTCTTTTGGGTAGTTTCCCTGTTCTCTGCCTGTCCCTCTAACCTAGGAACATAAACTCCTCCAGGGTGAGAACTTGATCCTGTGCACCAGTGTCTCCAGCACCTTGAACTGTGCCTGGCACATTGCAGGTGCTTGATAAGTGTTTGTCAAGTGAATGAATGAATAAGTGCCAATGCTAGAGCTTTTGTGATGTGCTGAATGCATTTCAGCAAGTTCTATTATTATCCCCATTTCACAGAGAAGAAACTGAGGCTGAGTCACTCCATCCACTAGGGTCATGGTCCTGGCTTCAGGTGGGTCTGGAATCCTGCCCAGTGATGGCAGGTGGCCTGTCTTATGAGTAGGTTCTGCCTAGTGGAGAGGATGAGGGTGGGGGCTTTGGGCTGTCAGGCCCCGGTGGGAGTAAGTCTCTGGCTGGGGGTCATTGTCTAGGTCCTGGCCACCAATTCTGAGTGGGATGAAGTTCTGGAAACTCCCTGGCCCAGCTCTGCTGGGCATGAGGAACCAGGATGTGGGGCAGGACATGGGCACATAGACAGGAAGCCAGGGACACTGGACACCTTTGTGGTCTGGGCCTCTGTGCCAGCACTTACTTCCTGGATTATGAAATTCTCCTACAGAAAATAACCTTCTTGCTGTTCTGACCCCCCCTCTGGCTGGGTGGCAGGCTGAGGCACAATGAGGACAGGCCTTGGGCACTGAACAGGGGACCTACTGACAGCCCCACAAGCTGATGTTCCCTGAGCACCTGCTGCAGGCTTGGCGCTGCTCTCGCACTTTACTGACATTAACTCATCTAATTCTTCCTACAGGTGGGTATGGGGAACTGAGGCTCAGAGTGAGTAACTTGCCATGACCTCATAGCTAGGGATAGGAGAAGTGAGCTCTGCTGTTTGTCTCCTGTGGTACACCCCTCCTCCCATCCTCTGCCCCAAGCCATCAGAGATTCTTACAGACTCACTGACATGTCGAAGGTCTCTCTTTACCCCTCAGTCACTCTGGAACTAGCATAGGGTGGGTTTGAGGGGCCAGATCTAGGATAAACCTGGACCAGGAATTTCACCTCTAAGCCCATTTCCTCATCAATAAGACAGGGGTCCAGATGGCCTCATGTGGATGGGCTGCTGTGCAGTCCTGAAGGGGTTAGCACCTTGCATCTGCATGTGGAGTCCCAGGGGCCAGGCTGCCCTGTGGAAGGGCCTCAGGCATGCAACTATTTGTCTCCAACTCATAGAGCTGACATGGGAACTAAATGAACATCAGACCATGATACTTAGGTTGGCATGTACTTGGTGCACAGCACATGAGTACTTTTCTCCTTTCAACTTTTCTGTGGTGAATAACATTACTGAATATTTACCCTATTATAAACTGCCACTTTTTAACTTCCTGCATCCTCATAAAGCAGTTCTTCAAAGTGGGACCACTGGACAAGCATCACTTGGGAACTTGCTGAAAGTACAAGCTGGCAGCTCGCCCTGGACCTGCTGAATTATATGCTGCCAGGAGGTTTGGTGATTGGCCCTCCAGGAGACTCTGACATGGCTTAAGTTTGAGAACAACTCACGTCTAACAACCCTGGAAGACTGGAGCTATTCTTATGCCCATTGAACAGCAGTGGAAACTAAATCTGAGAGAGGCTGACCAGTTTCAGTCTATGTGCCTAAGTATCAGAGGTAGAATTTGAACTCAGAGCACCAGGATTAGTCTGTCCTAGGAACCCTTGCACTGGACCCTGATGATGCAAAGCTTGTGTAAGATGCTAGGGAATTCCAGGTCATGTCAATGACTGTGGCTCCAGAAAATGGACAGAACCCCTCCCTCCCACTCCCAGGGCCCCATGGAGACAGCCACAGCCATTTCCAACTCTTTATTGGGGCTCTGTCAGCCCAAATAAATACAATATATTAAACCCAGAGCTGAGGGAATCTGGCACCCCAGGAGGTGCTCTCCACAACCCCAGCTGGACAAAATAAGTTAGCAGGGAGCCTGCCGAAGGCCAGGCCAGCGCCCTGGCTGGGCAGGCGACGGCAGGTGCACTCATACACGCTGGTCTAAAGTGCATCTCGTTTCTGTGGTCCCCGTGTTTGCATGGCCCCTGGCCAGGCCACCGGGATGGGTGGGCAGGAGGTTCCCGGTGCTCACACTGTGCCAGCAGTGGTCACCGAGATTGTGTCCATCTGACCATTTTCGGGGACAACTGTGTGGCCAGACGTCCTCAGGAGAAGCTATCATCAGGCTGTGGCTGGGAGTCGAAGGGAGGGTCTGAGACGGTGATGCCTTGATGCAGCTTCTCCAGTGAAAACTTCATCTGGGAGGAGAGGTGGGCAGGGTGGTGAGTGAGCACTGGAGGGGTGGTGTCACCCCCAATCCTGCAGTTGAGGAACTGGGGAAGGTCTAGAGAGGCCATGTCTCCTGCTCAGGTCACCATACAACACGAGCAGAGCAATACTGTACCTAGTTTAATTTATCACAGACAGTAAATGGAAGGGGCCCACCCAGATGGCCTGGGTTCGAGTCTGGACTCTGCTACTTACTGGGAAGCCTTGGGCAAGCCCCTTACCTGTCCCAGGTGCCTTAGCTGAAAGAAGGGTCAGTAATACCTGCTTCACCAGGTTATTTCAGGGATCTGATGGCATACAGGAGGTGCCCAATGCATGTTATTCTTATTCCCTGCTGTGAAACCTTGGGCAAGTTTGATGGCCTCACACCTCAGCATCCCTATCTGCTACGTTTGGGGGGCAAGAACATCCCCCTCATAGCCTAGCCACAAGAAGCAAAGCAGCTGGTCACTTTGGCACTTGGAACAGCCCAGCTTGATCAGTGTCTGCTATTAGCACTCATTTGAGAAGTCAACACAGTGCCCATAGCAATCTGAGAGGAAAATGAGAATTTAACTCAGGATGAGTAGGCCCTGCCCTCCTTTGCTCTGAGCGATGGGGCCCTGGCTTCAAAACCCCCTACCCTATCCTCCACAGCCCTTCCCAGACTTCGCATCTCTGTCCACACATATGCGGGACGCAGCGGGGCCCCAAGGTGGGCCGCAGCATTAGGGCCCGTAGGGGCCAGACAGTCTTCACCATCACCACGACCTTGGGCTCTGACACCCTCAGGGGGCCAGCCAGTGCCAGGTGCTCCCCAGCTTCCCACAGTCACTCCTCACATTAGGGTAGCTCAGGTGTCTGAAACTTGTGTTGACCCACCACATTTATTGAGCACCTGCTGTATGCCTGGCACTGGGCTTATACTACTAACAGCAAACATACATAAAGTGTTTACTATGGTCTTGGCACTATTCCAATGTGAACTCATTTAAATCTCATAACAGTCTTTGAGGTAATGTCAATTACTACCCCATTTACAGAGGAGGAAGCCAAGGCCCCAAGTCTCTTGCACAAGGTCACACACCAGAATTTGAACATGGCCTGCTGAACAGATGCTGCCCCTGAACTACAGGGGCTGTATGGGGTAACCCCTTCTAAAGGTGAGACCCCAGTAGCCTTTGGAAAACCTCTCCCACACCCTTATGTGATCCACCTTAGTCACCCCAAAGTGGGGAGGGACTCGGACACCAAGTCTTGCTTACCCCTGGCCTCTGTGGCTGGTTGCAGGGGCAGGGCATGTGATGCTAGCAGCCAATGAGAGTAAGTCCTTTCCTTTGGATGTCAGACTAGAGCTGCAGGGACCACCTTGGTCACCCTCGGGGAGAGGATGCCCAGAACTAAGCCAACCCTGGGGGTAGGCAGAGTCAAAAGATGGTTCCAGAGACCAATTCTTACTGTCATTAAGTGGCTGGGCCCAGCCAGGCCTAGTGGGCCACATCTGGACTTTTTTCCCAGGATGGGGGCCAATAAATTCTTTCATTCTGCTGATATTTCTGGCAACCCAGAAGGTGAGGGACTATGAATGGCTTCCTCATCTTATGGAGGAGGAAACCGAGGCCCAGAGGCATGTGCCACATCTTCGGGTTGGAGTGCAGGGTCCCAGAGCCCCAGGGCCATACCTCATCCAGAAGCTCCACCGAGGCCCGCAGGATCTGCCTCCACTTGTGCACCTCAACGCTGTGGAACTGCTTCTGCAGGGCCAGGACCTCCGCCCATTCTGCAGCCGTCTGGGGGAACTTGCTGTGTAGGGTGCAGGGCCTGAGTAGAGCCTTGGCCTCCCCCAATCTGCCCAAGCTCCAGCCCCCTCAGGGTGCCCACTCACTCCTTGGCCAGGGCCAGACTGTGCCAGGACTCAAAGGTGTGGGCCGTCCTCTCCAGGGACCACAGGCGGTAAAAGAGGAGAACATTGAGGGCGATGAGGATGATGAGGCTGAGGGCAGGAATCAGAGGTCAGGAGTCAGGATTGATGCTCCCACAAGTTGGGCACACACACGACCACACCTTGAAGGGACACCACGACTACTGTCTCTTCAGAGGAGGAAGCTAAGACTCAGAGAAGGGGAGAGACATGCAAAGTCAGGGTTCAAACCCAGGCCTGTCTAATGCCCACACCCTTAACTGCCACGCCAAACAAGCTCACTGGGAGAACCAAGGATGTGGAATAGAGAAGGGGCTGCAGCCAGGGGTGAGACATGAGGTGAGGGGAGGTGCAGGGTGCAGGACCCTACCTCGCACAGATCCTGAGGAGGCGGTGAGGGGGAGACAAAGAGATGAGAGCTGCCCAGCCCATGCTACCCACCCCACCCCTCCTAGACCCCAGCTCCCGGCAGAGCATGCCACTCAGCCTCTCACTGGGAAGGAGGCTGGCCCAGAGAGGCTGGATGCATGGCCGATCTGACTCTCACCTCCCACAGTCCGCTGGAAGCATGGATCTCACTTCCATTTCCTCAGTGTCCTGCCTCTCCACACCTCCAGACCTTCATGCATGTGGTTCTCCCTGCCTAACCCTCTGGGGTCTCAGCTCAGGAGTCCTCTGCTTTCCCAGGAAGCCGTCCCTGACTGTCCACTTTTCCCGCCTGGAGGAAGCCTTCACTGACCTCCCAAGGCTTCCCTACCCAGGCCCTGTTCCCTCTGCCTGTGTTTCCCCCATCACTTTGGTCTGGTGCCAGAACTGTCTCCCCCAGAGCTGCTTGTCACTGCTGTGTGCCCAGCATCACCCAGCTTAGGCTTAAACACAGAAAACACGAATGAAGTGTGTAAGTAAAATTGCTTCTTTTGCATACCTCTCCTGGTTCACCTAATTTTGCCTCATTTGGGTACTGATTCCTCCACAAAGCCCTCCCTGGCCCTTGGGTGAGGTCAGGTCTCTCTAACCTCCCAGAGTCCCAGGCATCCCTCTCCCAGCAGGCAGATCTCTCCATGATGAACAGAGCAGTACACTGCACAGAGCTCTGCTGGGCACAGCTCCAACACTGGCTCCTTTAATCCTTTCTCTGAGGGGAGCCCACATTCCCACTTAAGCTGAGGCCCAGTGAGGCCAGGCACTTGCCCAAGGTCACACAGCTGAGATGCAGACACAGGCCTGTCTGACACCGACGCCTGGCCTCCTTACTCACACAATGCTGATGAGCACCAGGGCACTGGGGATGCCTGTCCCGGGGCCCTGGTCCGTGGTCGGTTCTGAGAAACGGGAGCTAAGGGAGCCTGTGGGAGAGCAACTCAGAGTCAGACAGACTCATCCAGCCCACCCCACCTGGGCCCTGCTCCTCTGCCTGCCCTGCCCAGCCCTGACGAACGCACCCGAGGTGTGCATGCCAGCCCGGGCACAGGGGTCGGGGTCTGGGTGCTGGGGCCCATCACCATGACCCCTCCAGCTCAAGGGCCGCTTCCGCCTCCGCAGGCCTGACAGCAATCCCCGGGCGTCCTTCCCGCCTTCCTCTAGGGACAGCTTCTCGGCCTTGGCAAGCTCTCGCTCTGTGGACATGAGAAAGGGCTCTGCAGGTCTGCATCCAGCTAAGCCACGACCCTATCCTGCCCTGGCTGACTCTGTCCCTTACCCAGGTGGTGGAAATAATCCTCAATGCCATTCCACGAGTTCTTCTCAATCAGAGACTTCACAAGGCTCCAGGGCTGCTTCCGGTAGCGGATCTCAGAGGACACTCTAGGGTTGGGGAAATGGGGGGAGAGTCTGACTCCAGCCTTGCTGCCCCACTACCAGGGGGTGCTTTCCTCTCTAGCTCAGAGAGGGCCCTGTGTACCCACAGAGAAAACAAACACATCCCCTCACCCACCGATGGCTTCCCTGTGATCCCTGCTCACCTGAAGTGCCAGCCAGTCAGCCTGTAACTCCCTCTCTGCCCACACCCACTACCTTGGCAAGTCTCCTGTCCGTAAGTGCTGCCTCAGCACTGCCCGTGCACATTGCAGGCTTAACACACACCTCGGTTCTGAACCCCTTCTGTCTTGTTGCTGCATGCAACTCCACATGGGGGTCTTTGGTAGCTTGACACGTCCCCAACTGATCTCCTGATCATCCCCCAAACCTACTTCTCCCATCTTCCCCATCCTGGTCAATGGCAGTTCCACCCACCTAGAGGCTCAGGCCAAACACCTCTGGGTGTTCCTGGCCCCTTAAGGACCAACACTTCTGCTTGCCTACCAGGGTAGCAACCAACATTCAGCAACTGACTTTGGCTGGGGAGCACCGGGGCCCTCCATGGGGTGGGGGGGACACCAAAGCATCAGGTGGAGGCAGCTGCTCACCGAAGACGAGCCTTGTTCCGGGCAAGGCCCAGAATGCAGTAACGGTGGGCAGTGTAGAAGTAGTCCTGGTAAGGGATGCCCTGCGTCAGCACCTCTGAGTCCACCACACAGCCGCCTGCCTGTGGGCCGCGCCGGAACAGTGTCTGCAGGGCAAGGGAGGAGAGAGTCAGGGCTGCCCACCTGGCCGCCCCACCGGGCTGGCCACCCCGCCTGGCTCACCTGAGTCTCCACCACTGAGGCACTCTTGGGACCCAGCGGGTTGCTGATGGGAATGGTGTAGGTCAACACTCGGCGCTGATGGCACTTGCTGTCCCCACTCCAGGGGCTCAAGGTCACGTCTGGGGCAGGGAGAGCAGAATGGGGACACTACTCACCAGCCCTTTGCCTACAGGCTGTAGGAGACTCAGCCTTTTTGTAAGGTTCCAGTTTTCTTGGGCCTTGCCCCAAACCCACTCTTCTTCCATGTGCCCACCTTGGCACCTACCCCATGTTCCTTGGGACACCTAAAACTTAGATGTTGATGATACTCAGAGCTGGAACCTTTGCCCTCCCTATACTTCTCATCCCTCCTACAGCCTGTTTCCCTGTCTGTACCAGTCCTGCCTTCTCCCCTGAGCCTCAGACCTAGGGCCCTATTACCTCCTGAACACCTTTCCCTCCAAGTCCCCTGGACCCCTCATACCTATTGGGCCCCACACTGGCCTCCGCATCTCTTCAGACCTGCTCATCCTCTGGGGCCCTATCTCAGGAGTGGTCCAACTGTCCTCTAGGCCCCCCACCCAAGCCCCAGGCCTGCACACTCCCTCCCCCATCTGACTCTTGAGCTCCTCTGCTGGTCCCATGGTAAACCCTTCCACTTCACCTGCTGCTGTGGCTGCCCCTCTCCACACCTGGCCACAGGGGCCCACCCTCGAGGGATTTCTCACAGTGCCTGCCTCCAGCCTCAGGGGCTATGTAGGTTCCTCACCCCCACCTCCCCCCCTTTCTGGACAAGCCCCTCCTTCAGGCCTTAGTTTCCATTTCACATCCTTCCAGCAGCCATTCCTGATTGGGTCACAGCTACCTCTCTGATACTCAATGTTTATTTGTGTGAGAATCTATTTACCCTCATTCTCACTAGATTCTAGGGTACATCTGTCCTGGTCTCTGCATAGAGTAGTACTAAATGTATGATCGTCACATTTACAAAATATGTACTATTTGGCTACTATTCTAGGCACTTTTCTAGCATCAACCCATTTAGGTTTCCTGAGACCCTGATAAGGCAGGCACTATTACCATACCTCCATTATGCAGAAGGAACTCAGGCAGAGAGAGGCTGGAACCCTGCTAGTAAGAGGCAGAACACTCTGCTCTCATGGATGCTGCCTTTAACCCCCTCACCCTGCCACACCTGACCAGCACAGCAAGCAGTGCCTGCCTATCTCCAGGCTTGTCCTCCCCCATCCTCCCCTGTGTCTGGGGAATCTCAGTCCCCTAACCTGTGAACTTGCACTGCTCCAGGAAGCCCTGCAGGAAAGGTGAGTCTGAGAAGAGCATCTGCTGGAGCCGTTCGGCGCCCACATGGAAGACAGAATTGATGAGGAGACGGCCAGAGAGGTCAGGATGCAGGGCAGCCAGGTCCGCTGGGAGATACAGAAGGGCAGCAAATGAGGCCACCGGCATGCCTCCTTTCTCAAAGTGCTTCCTTGGTTTCCCTCTGGAGACCACCCTACGCCACTCCTGGCCTTGCGGAGTGGACAGGCAGATCTGTCTGCCTAGACCAGAGCGGGCACTGGGCCACAGGGGTGGTTTTTAGGTGGCATGTGCCCTAAGCCCAAACAATCAGAGCCATCATGACTGGTTCCCACTGTGGGCCCAGCCCACTGCATTCCCAGTCACCACAGGCCCGTAGGCCTGTGACTATCAGCCACAGGGATTGGTTCAGGGGCCAGGCAGTCACAGTGGTTGGTTCTGAGGGGTATGTGTGGCCCCAAGCAGCCACAGAGACTGGTTCAGGAGTTGGCTCGTTTTCCACTCAGAGCCAACCCTAGAGCTTTCAGTACAGCCACTGGGAAAGGCATATTTTTTCTCTGCTAGGCTTGTCTGAAGCAGGGCAGGGTCTCTCTCTGCCCCAACAAGAGGAGAAGCTACCTGGGAATGAAGTTGGCACAGAGGAATATAAATGATGATGATGATGATGATGATAATGGAAATTATAATAGCTTATACTTACTAACTGGCCCATGTATTTACATAGATTAATTCATTTAATTCTCTTAAGAACAACCCTATGACATGGATATTATTATTGCTAATCCCGTTTTTCAGATGAGGGAAATGAGGCTCACAGAAAAATGATTCACCCAGGTTACATGGCTAAAAAACCACTGTGGCCAGAATTTGAATCCCAGAGATTTGGCTTCAGAGTTTGTGCTCCTATCTGCCTCGCTCTGCTATCTTTAAAGCAGAGCTAAGACAGATGTCTAACAACACTATTAAATGCCTTACCTGCCCACTCCCTGGGTTTTTTGACCCAGTGAGCCAGCAAACCCCTTGCTTAAGCCAGTCTGAGTAGTTTGTCATGTGCAACTAAAGCAAATGGTTCAGGCCACCTGCTTCACCTTCTTCCCCTGTGGACGAGGAGGAGTGACTCGTGTCTGTCAACAGCTCCTCGCTGGGCAGCAGATCCAAGGGGCCCAGGGAAACAGGTCCTTCAGGTGGAGTGGGCTCTGTGCTCAGCGGTTCAGCCGCTGGAGTCACCGTCTGGCTAGAAGAGGCGTCTGGCTGTCTGTCTATCTGCTCCTCCTTGTCCTCCTCTGCCTGCAGAGAATGACTTAAATCAGCCTTGTCCCATTTCCATCCTTTCCATCCCAGCCTGAGGGCTTCCTGTGTGCCCACATTGGCCATAAGAATTCAAGTCTAAGAAAACCAGTGCTGGGAGGTCACATGTATAAGGAGGGCTTACAGCTGAGCTTCAAGGGGGCCCTAAAGCCACCCAAACAAGGGCTCCTCTTAGCCCCTTGCAGGCCTATCTTGGATGACTGGGCTATAAGCTTTCTTATGCCTGTCCTGTCCATGCCTTGCCTGGGTCCTACCTCGTGCATCCATCCCTCTGTTGCCTCTTCTGTCTGTCACTCTTTCCATCTGTCTGTCTCCCCTTTGCTTGCCTCTCTGGTTCCCTACCTATTCCTGTTTATGTTAACCATCTCCCCAGCTCTTATCCCTCCTCAGTCTTATCCCTCAGTCTTATCCCTCCATCTATCTCCTTTCTTACCCCTCCACTCACCTCTTCTCTGTTCCTTGGCCCTTTCCCTCCCTGGTCTCCCCCAGTCTGTCCCTCTCCCTGACACCACATCTAGCCTTCCTCTGTCTCTTCCCACAGCACCCTCCTCTCTCCTTCTGCTCACCCCATGGTCTGCATCGCTGCTGGCTCGGGAAAGGTTGGGGGTGATGCGGCCACGGCGTGAACCCACTGGGCTTGGCTCCTGGCTGTGGTCAGCTGCCCCTGAGGGGGTGATATCACTCAGGGCAATCACATCTCCCACTTCCTTGGGGCTCCTGCAATGAAAGGGAGGGTGTGGGATCACTGTATTCTTGAAACCCCACACACCCACCGCAGTCCACCTGAAAGTCCAGGAGTTCTTCATGCAGCCCCTTTTGTCTCCCCCAACCCCTCCAGGAACCGGCTATCAACTTTTGACTCACCCCAGGCCGTTCAGCTGCAAGGGGCAGACATAGTCCTCATCCTCACTGGTGAGACCCAGCTCTGAGCCGTAGCACTGATGCACCAGGTGCCAGAGCTCTCGGGGACTCAGCGTCTGGGCAGGCAAGACGCGTTCAGGGTTGGCCTCCACCACACCCAAGCCAGAGTGCTTTCCACCCAGTGCCCACCAGCCTCAGCATTTCCCCCAGTGCCCACACAGGGCAGCATGGTCTCCCATCCCAGATCTTACACCCCATGACAGCCCAGTGGGGAGGAGCCAGTGTGCTCAGGACTTTCCCCTCAGGTTCTCACAATACATAGCTACAGGTTAATGGTTCCAGTTTTACAGAGAATACAAGGTCCAGGGAGAAGTCATGTGCTTGAGGCCACACAAGTGACCAGAGGCAACTCAGGGATTCAAACCTAGCCAGCCTGCAGAACCTCTGCTCCCACCCGCCCCCCTGCTGTCCTGCCCCCACCCATTTCTCTAGTGTTCTCAGGAGCCCTGGTCTTTCAGCTACTCATGGCCTGAAGGGGTGGATGCCAATGATAAACCAGCAATAGTAATAATGATAACTGCAGCAGACATGCACTGAGTTGTTACTATATGCCAGGCATTCTTCTCATCTTTTCACATGAGCTAACTCACTGAGTCTTTAAAACAGTTCTGTAAAGTCAGTGCTAATATCAGCATTTTAAGACAATGACACTGAGGCACAGAGGTGCCCACGTGACAGCACTGAAATGTTACCCCAGGGGCTGTTCTAGCACCCTGGTGCTACCTCTGGACAACCCTGCTTTGTAAGAGGTGACACCGCTGAGCAGCACTTATTCTGAGCTCAAGTCTGGTTGCTATGAAGTCGGGAGAGTCCTGATCTGACCAGTGGGGTTTGGTAACTTAACCAGGTCATGTAGCTCCTCAGTGATGGGGACAGAACTCCTGGCAATCTGGCTCCAGGGCCTACACTCTGAACCCTCCTCTGCACTTGCCCTTGCAGCTTTGATGCTGGGCTGTCTCCTCTCTCTGGCTCCTGCTCCAGCACTCCTGCTCCCTCCTGGCCATAGCTGGAGCTGCCCCTGAGAGGGCAGGACAGAAGCACAGCACTGCTGGAGGAGCGGGTTCTGACCTCCTGAGGTGCTACAGGCTGACAGCAACAAGCCATGCCAACCTGACATCTAACCACACTCCCTCCCTGCCAGTGTAACTCTGATTTGTTTGGGGTGAAAATCTTCTCCAGCCAACTCATCTTCCCTTTGCCAAATACCCAACCTCTTTTGCAGCTGAAGGCAGTCATGTGACTCCATTCTAGCCGAAGAAATACAGAGCAAAATCTAAAGGAAGCTTTTCCTCCCTTAAAAAGGAATTTCCACTTTCTATCCACCCATGTCCCCCTTCATGTTTGGGACACTTACATGAGGACTAGAGCAGCCACCTTGTAACCACAGGACAACAAGCATGTGAACAAAACATCACCATACAGAGGATGAGTGTGGAAAAGTGGACAAGAACTTGGGTCCTTGATCCTTCACACCCACCCTGGACCACCTGCTTCCAGACCTCTCATGACATGAGCATCAGTGTGACACAATGGTTGAGTGGAGTCCAGAACCTGACTGCAGTGGGTCAGAACCCAGCTCTGCCACATACAAGCCCACATGACCAGGGGCCAGTCTAATACTCCGTGCCCCATTGGTGAAATAAAGATAATAACCATACTGCCTCGTGGGTGGTTGTGAAGATGGAACGAGTTCATTCCTGTAATACTCAGATCAATGCCTGGCACTTAGTAGCACCATTAAGTGTTAGCTACTAATACCTTGTGAAATGATTCAGTATCTGTTTGCTTAAACCAGATTGTTTGGTTGGCATTTCAGTTACTTATTGCCAAATGCATCCTATGTAAACCTATGCAACCACAGAGGGCATTCCAAGAGAGCCTGCCGAGGGCTGGCACTCAATGGGCTATTGGACTGTAGCAAGTGAAAGTCTAAAATCCCTGCCTCAAAGACTTCAGTCCAAGACATGATTCAAAATTAGGATTTTGGATTGAAGAAAAGTAGCATAGTGGCAATACTGTAGGCTGTAACAGAGCACCGATACTTATATTTTGTATCCAGTGCAGTGTATGACAGAGGTTCTCAAAGTGTGGTCCAAAGATTTCTGGGGGTCCCCTAGACCCTTTTCAGGCTGCCCACAAGGTCAAAATTATTTTCACAAGCCTAAGTATTACTAGTAGTATAAGGTGTTACTCATCTTTTCACTTTCATTCTCTCATGAGTATACAGTGGTTTTCTAGAGGCTCTATGACATGTGATGCTATAATTTTTCTGGTTGCTAATGCAATGTGTTGTGTATTCTTGTGCTTGAAAATTTCTCAGTTTTAGTTTCTAATACAGTAGATATTGACAGATATAACCATCTTACACAAATGTTCTTTGGAGCCTACAATTATTTTAAGGAGTGTAAAGCGTTTCTGAGACTACAAAGATTGAGAATCGTTGGTATGTCCCATTAATATACTGGACACTTAACTTTACACTGAACTGTACCTAAGACTGGTTCCGCTCATGCTCAGTAACAACACGAGCAGACGCAGGGAGATACAGACCTGTACTCTGTGAGAGGCATGCATGGCCATTTAAGTGTACATTAGTTAAAACTAAATTAAATTAAATTAAAAATGCAGATCCCCAATCACACTAGCTACTTTTTAAGAGTTCAAGGGGCACACGTGGATAGTGGCTACTCTACTGGCCAGTGCAGATAGAGGACACTTCCATCGCAGCAGAAAGCTCGACTGTGCAGTGCTTGTATGCATAATAAATACCACATTACTAGCTCAGAGCAGATTTTGCTGCCACATATAAAAAATGTTACGGTGAATAAGAGGCTGTGCATACACATTTCTAGTGGGCAGCCTCTGTCACTAGAGTCCACAGTGATCCCTCGTGGGGCCCATGGGGTATGCTGCCGATATGTTGATGCAGATGCCCATGGAGAGGAGCTGGGCGGTCCTCCAGTTCTGGCACCCCTGGCTCCATGGTCTCCCCTGGCCCACCCACAAAGTCCCCTGTCCAGGCCTCCTCCAGGCCCACCTTTTCAAGCAGCGCGTTCTGCCAGAGGCGGAATAGGAGCAGGAAGCAGCGGTCCCGGGCTCCAAAGGAGGTGAAGAAATGCTGCAGGAGAGAGATGGGGTGTGGGGGAGACACGAAAGGGTGGAGGGGCAGGTCCATCCCCATCCAGCTCCATCCTGATCTCCATCCTGAGGTATATCCATTCATTCATCCCTTCTTTCTTTCTACAGAATGTTTATCCTGTGCCCAATCTGGCACTGGACACTGGAGTCACCGTGTTGGGGAGATGGTCCCTAGCTCTGTACCCAGAGCTCACGGGCTAAGGCAGGCTCATCTCCAGATGGGGTCAGTCCAAAGGGACTGGGCTGGGAGGGGGGAAGCCCAGGGCAATTTCCCAGTCTCCTTTGCCCATAAGGTGGTCAACTGATCTTCTTTTGGCCAGTAAAACACAAAGGAATTCTGCTGTGAAGTGTCGTGTGCATGTGCACACAGCCACATTTCTTTCTCCCGTCCCGTCTGGGCCACTGATGGGAGGCAGCCATCTTGGGACCACGAGTCAACATCACAGGGACAGAATGGAGTGTCAGGGAAGGCTTCCAAGGACAGAAGACATCTGAGTTGTAGATACGTAGGAGGGAAGAATTTTACTATTAATCCTATCTCAGAGCAGTTGTGTGAGGGGACAGACTGCAGGGACTGTGACAGCAGGAGGCTGGTGTGGAGATCCAGGTCAGAGATGATGGAAACCTGGGCCAGGGTGGGGGCAGGGAGAACAAAGAGAAAGCCACAGACTGAGAGCAGATCAGAGTGCAGAAAAAACAGGGTTTTGGTGGGGGAAGAAGGGAGGAGTTGGCTAAGATCAGTGACCACATGGCCTTGTCAGCAGGTCCTCTCACTCACCTTCTCACTCTCTGTGCAGATCTGGATGGCGTTGGGGATCAGCTTGGCTGTCTTTTCCTTCTTCAGGCACGTCACTTCCTTCAGCTGGATGGAAATCTAAGAAGGACAGGCGGGTCAGGAGGGGCCGGAGCCCTGCCAGGGCCCCTTCTCATCCCTGCATGGGCTCACTGTTGTCTCCCAGCGGAAGATGTTGCTGTAGAAGCAGATCCAGTTCTCGGAGAGATAGAGGCGGCCCTGGAGGAGGATCTCACGCTGCAAGGCACAGGAGTAATCTGAGGCGGCCAGGAGAGAGACAGGCAGACACCCGAGTCACATGGCTGGCCTACCCAGCACCCAGGTGGGGAGGTTCAGGAGGGCAGAGATGGGAACTCAGGGCTGGGTGGGCATATCAGGACTGACCCACGATGAGGCGTTCAGCTTCAGGGAGTTTGCTGAACAGTTTCCGGAAGTCCTCATTCCGCTGTTTGTACGTGGGGCTCAGCATCTAAGGGAAGTGTGGGAGGTGTGAATCCAGGTGAGGTTCACCCCTAATTGTGCCCCACTGTGCTCTCAGAAGCCCCTCAGTCTTTTCTGCCCCAGACAGGCTCTCTGATGCTTCAAGTCTAGCTCATTCTGGCTTCCACTGCCAGTAACACAAGAGTAAACATGATGAGAGTTCCCATTTACTGATTTCTACATAAGCCAGGTCCTATGTTACATACCCAACAGCATCATTGACTCTTAGTGAAAGTTCCCTTCAGCCTCGTAAAGTGGGAACTGTTTCTCAAGGAGAGAGGTCCAGAGAGGTTAAGCAACTCACTCAAGGTCACACGACACAAAAGTAGCAACAAAGATATGACCCAAGGTCTGCTGACCCAGCCCCACTTCACTGCTGTCCCCTCCCTCCAACCCCTCTAGCAAGCCCCTGCCCAATACTTACACTGTACCAGCTCTGCATCTTCTGCAAGAGAAAGGAATGGAATCAGAACAAGACTTCAGATCCCTGGCCTTCTACCACTCTCCCCAAATGGCCAGGGCCTGCACCAACCTTGCTGTTGCGGATGAAGTTCCGGCTGCCCAGGCTCTGGGTGCTGGGTGTCCCGGGCACCCCACCCTTCTCTGAGGAGCTATCTGACCCCTTCTCCACCATGGTGCCTGGTTCTGGCTCAGGTGGGGGTCGGCTTGGGGGCAAGAGCTGCAGCCGCTTACGGAGAGATGGTGAGCTGCTTGGCGTGCTCCGGCCAGAGTGGGGGGTGGTACTGGAGGAAGGGGGGAAAGAAAGGGTTATGGGATAAAACAAACCAGGGGGTGCAGACAGGCCTATTTTGGGAGGCCTGTGCATCAGCCTGCTGATCCTTATCCATCCATTCTACTCCACTTCCTAGCAGCATGGTCCAGAGCAGGTTCCCTAACTCTGTTCCTTGGTTACTATATCTGTGACCCAAGGATCAGTAATACATGTCCTCATCCAGTTGTCTGGAGGTAAATGAACAATAAATGCACAGTGCTGCTAATACAGCCTGGAATACAGTGAGCTCTCAATATACCTGCTATATTCTGAATTAACTTATTAGTCATTTATACAATTAAAAACTTACTGAGCAGCCCCTTTCTACTCGGTTGCTTGAGCTAAAAACCTAAGCATCTTATTTTCTTTCTTGCGCTTCCTTATTTCTAATCTGTTGGTAAAGTCCAACCCAGATCACCTCCAAAATCTATTTTCATTATTTCTATTAGCCCCACTTCCCCGCTCCATCCAGTGACCTGGCCCAGCCTCCATCCTCAGCCTCCTGAACACCGGTCACCCCCAACAGTCTGCTCCTCACACAAAGCCAGAGGGGCCTATGAACCAGAGTCCAGTCAGGTCAGGACCCTTCTGGTTGAGTCCTCACCAGGCTGCACCTCAATTTGGCTAAAAGCAAAGTCCTTACCTTGGCACCCAAGGCCCTAATGTGATCCCTATCACTCCCTCCATTCCAGCCTCCTTTTGCCCCTAAAGCCCACCAAGTGCATTTCTGTGTCAAGGCTGCTGCACTTCCATTCCCTGTGCCTGAATGTCCTTCTAAAGCCTCAGCATAAGCAGCTGTCTTATTCCACTCAAATGCGTTTCGCATGGTGGCCCAGCTGCAAGTAGCCCCCAGCTCCACTCACACCATCTCGACTCATCCTGATCACTTACTGGGCTTGGTCATTGTCTGCTCTACACTGTAAATTTCAGGAGGTCCTGGTTGCCACTGTGTCCCCAGCACCCAAAACTATATCCGGCACAGAGTGAACTCTGATTACACACCGGTGACTCCATGAATAATCCATGTGCTGCCTAGAGTGGGGAGCAGCAGAGACCACCAGATGTGGTTCCTGCCTTGGGGAATTAGCCTGCTGCTGGGAGGCAGCCCCAGTACAAGTAGAATGCTCAGAGGACCAAATATACATACTCTTATAGGGCTATGGGGTCAGTTTGGGGGCATTTGAAAGGACACTCATTGTTGACTTTGTATCAGGACCCACTATCGTGGCACATTCTGCATATGAGGAACTGTACTGATCCTCACACAACACTGTGCATCCGATACTCTTATCACTTCCTTTGCAGAAGAAACTGAGGCCCAAAGTGGCACACCACTTGTCCACAGTTTAATTCAGAGCAGGATTCCAACATAGGGAATTCAATCTCCCCTGGGGAGGAGGTGGGAGCTCCTCAAACAGTTGAGGCTCCTCATACTTCTCCCTCCTGCCTCCAAGCTTTAGCACGAGCTCTTCCCTTTGTACAGACTGTCCTTCCTCTTCTTTGCCTAGCAAATTCTTACCCATCCTTCAGGACTCTTGCTCCACACCTCCTCCCTCCTGGACACTGCCCCCACTTCTGTGGGTCCCCCCAGCTCCCATTCCAGTTCTAACCACTCTGCCTATACTTCCCTCAATCTAGCCCTGACTACTCCATGCTGTCGCTGTTTGATGACATCTCCACAGATCTGTAAGCTCCCTGTTGTCTTCGTCACTGTTCTGTCCCTAGTATTGCTCAGGACAGGAACCAGGGCAGGCATTCATGTTGTGCTTGTGAAATGAAATTTGTGGAAATAAATAAATAAAATAGATGTGACCTAGGCCACCACCATACCTCCTAGACTATCAAAGCCACCTTCTCTTAATGCCCTTCCTCCCAGATGTCTGCAGGCCTCTGCTCAATGAACACATCTCCAAAACATCTTCCTTCAGCTCTTTAAAATACACTCCTCACATCCTGATACGCCTTCCTCTCCATCTCTCCCCTCAGCACTTCCCTGACCCAACCTTCTGTATTTGTCCTTCTTTTTTTCTTTTTAAAAGATTGATTTATTTATTTTCAGAGAGGTGGGGGAGAAAGAGATGGAAAGAAACATCAATGGGTGGTTGCCTCATGTGTGCCCCCAAGTGGGGACCTGATCTGCAACCCAGGAATGTGTTCTGACTGGGATTCAAACTGGTGACCCTTTGGTTCACAGGCCAGCATTCAATCCACTGAGCTACGCCAGCTAGGGCTGTCCTTGTTTCTTATTCTCCCACATAGGAGGTGCACCCCAGGGGGGAAAGAGGTTTACTTCCCAGCTGCATGCTCCTTGGCCATCTGCTCTTTTGGGCAGAATAAATAAATAACCCTCCACTCCCCCCATTCAGAACTCAGACTCAACCAGGTGTGTGCCTTGCCCAGTCCTCTGAGAGATGAGGCTGTGGCAAGTCTCAGTTTGGTCACTTCCCTATGTGACCTTGGGCTAGAGTTTGAACCTTCCGTTGCAGGTTTCTCTTGAATATAACAGTATCTACCTTGCCTAATAGTGCCCCTCTTCAGGCAAGTAGCAACTTGGAATAAAATCTGGCATGCCTCAGCTTTTTAGGGCAGAAGGTCACATGTAATTTCCTTTGCCTTCTTTTGGCTGCCTGCGTGTAAAAAAAGAAAAAAAGTATCTACCTCACAGGGCTTTCTGGAAGAGGACATATATACAATCAGCCCACCACATGGAAGGCACTCTGGTTTGATCATCCAGGGCTGTCAGAGTACATGGCCCTGCCAGTGCCTCAGCACACCTGTGTCTAAGTTGCTCCACTGACCTCGACAGGTATGGCAAGACACCTCAACCTGGTGTGGGGAGCCCAAACTGACCCCAAACTGCAGTCGTTCACTCTCTAACTACACACTGGCCACCTGCCACACGCCAGGCACTAGACACACGAAAGTGAGAGAACTAGGTACAATCCCTGCCCGCAGGACCTGATGCTGTTTGGAGAACAGACAATCAATAAGAGAACATGTAAACGAGGGTGATAATCTCACTGACACTAGTCACATGACCAGCAGCAGCAATACCTGGCAGTTTTAAGAAACACTGATTCTGGCATCCACTGCAGACCTCCTGAATCAAAGACAGGGTGGGGCCCCAGAGAAAGTTGGAGGACCATGGTGATAAAGGAGGGCTAGGTGGACGGGCGGGGTTGGGTGTAGGGCACACTTGAGCTGAGCTCTGAGGTTAAAATACAGATCTAGCAAAGGGAGGGGAAAGACAGGTTTAGCAGCAGGAACAAGGAATTCAGGGACAGGGCTGAGACTGGCAGGTCTGAAGAGTGAGGTGGCCAGTGGGGCTGGGAAAGGAGGACAGGAGGGCACAGGTCCACCCACAGGTACTGTGGGCTCTGGTCAGCTGTGGATGGGGCTGAAAGAGAGGTGACCACACTCCTCACCTGCCTCATCTTCTCCCCTCTGAACTGCAGACCCCTCCTTAACCTGTCTTAGTCTCCTGTAGCCACAGGTCAGGGGAAGGCATCAAAGGACAGGTCTAACACATACAGACAGAGCAGGGCAGGGCCCACGTCCCCAGATCTTGCTCCTTTGCAGGAGGAACAGGAAGTGCTCAAGGGCAGACACAGCCAACCAGGCAGAATGCAGCAGAGAGAAGGGAGGAGCCCCAAGTGTCTATAGGACCGTTATGGGGGTGGGGACTTGGCAGAGAATGGGGTTTTTGCCACTGCAGATATCTCACCTCCAGCTTCCTGGGCCTAAAAGGCCCAGAGCTCCCTCTGCTCAGAGCAGACCAGATGCACACACAGGTATGCATTAAAGCAAAACTTGACAGCCAGTGTCACAGGCAAACTATAGTTCCCCACAGTTGCAAGAAGTCTTCCCTACACTCCCACCCCCAGCAGTAGCACCACAAGTATGTTACAGTCACAAACAGCCGCAAGTCCCAGCATAATTACATACACACCCTCAGCATTACAAGTATGCTACAGGCACAAAGTCCCAAAAGTTAAATGCACTCACACACCCAGCTGCAGAGGGTCAGAGGAACACAGAAAACCACAAAAAGACCCTGATATATTACATTCACACATAGCTACAAGAACATCTCAGAGAAGAGTTGAAAGGAAACACTCCCAGTTATAGAGAATCACACAGTCAAAGAATAGTCACAGAGGACCCCAACTAACACATGCACAACCTAGGGAGATTAAGTCACAGAGTCAGCTCAGCTCCTATGATGCTCACCATCTGGCGGAGAAGAGAAAGCAAAGGCCTGCTCTAACATGGCAGGGGATGGAGGTGTCAGCAGCTGTTGCTGACAGAACCCTCACAATCAGAATAATGCAGCCCCTGGGGTTGTGACCACATCCTAACAACATAGCGGCCAGGGAGGTTCTTTATAAACTATAACAGGGGAAGAATTAAGTTATGATTATTGCTCCAGAGAGTCAAGGGTACTCCTAAGGTCTCAAGAGGGAGGGGCTGAGACCCACTAAGAGCCACAGGGGGTCTCTTTCTCTTGCTCTTCACACAAAGCCCCAGCGGGTCAGCTGAACACATGGAAGCCCAGGCACATACATGTAACAATGTTACCAAGGGACACACACAGGGACTTTCACACAAAGATGGAATCTGAAGGAAATTACAAGCACAACCCCAGAGGGTCTCAGTCATACAGCTCTGGCCCCAGACACACAACATCACACTTGGACACACAGGTAACTGACATTTGCACACAGAGCTAACAGGTTCAGAGGTAAATTATAGGCACATTCAGAGGCAAATGGTTGTAGCACCAAGCACAGAGGCTCAGACACATATGGTCACACATTACAATCACAACTGGACACAGGCAATGTACGGTGATACTTGGAGCCACAGATGGAGCCAGATATAAACTACACACATAGAGCCAGGGAGGATCACAGCTTTTGCACCCTGGAAACCTAAACATATGCATGCACGCTCCGAGTCCCAATCTGACAACGGAGGTTTGATGGGGTGGCATACACCACACACATACAACTGCAAAAGGTCGTAGCCACACGAGCTGAGCCCAGACACACACTACAGAGTCATAATCAGATACACGAAGGGAACTTACAGAATACATGGAACTCTAGGTAAATTACACACACACACAGCCAAAGAGGATCACAGCGGCCTGCAGACTAGGAAAACTGACACGCACACACAGGCTTCCAAGACATCTACAATTCATAATTGGAAACACCGGGCCAGACAGGGTGCAGAAGGACCCCAGAGGGGTCAGGCACGCGGTCGGTCGGTCGGCCACAGGGAAGCCCCCAACCCCCAGTAACCCTGGCGGAGACTCAAGACAGAGGAGGACTGTGGGAGCAGGCTCAGGCCCGGCGGGGCTGCTCCTGGGCCTGCCCCAGGGTCCCAGGCCTATGAGCCCGCCCTGCCTCCAGCCCAGGCCCAAAGAACCGGGTCAGCTTCGCCCCCATACCCCCGCCTCCGAAGCAGGGGCGGCCAGGCCGGGGCCCTCCCCACAGGCGCGCTTCCCGCGAAATCGGCTCCGGACCCCAACGAAAGCCCCTCTAACCTGGCGCATCGCGCCTTGGCAGCGACCAGCCAGGCCAGAGCCTCCCAGCCATCAGCCTTCAGTGCCCGGGTGCACCCTAGGACGCCAAGCCCCATCCCCACCCCGGTGGGCCCCAGTGCCTTGGGTTCCCGGACCTCGACTCCGGCAGGGGCCCCTGGCGCGCACGGTCGACCCCGTCTCCTCCCGCCCCGTCCTTACTCGAACATGGATGCTGCGGCGGGAGCGCCCAGCCGCAGGGCAGGGCTGGGACCGGCTGAGCGGGGCTGGGCCGAGCTAGACGTCCCAGCAGGACTCCCGCCCCGCCGTCTGAGGCCGCCGCCCCGCCGACCCAGCCGCCGGCACAAAAGGCCTAAGCAGCCCGAGGCCCCGCCGGCGTCACGCTCCCCGTTCCCGCTCCCGCCCCTGCGCGTCACAGCCCCCCCGCCCGCGAGGGAGGAGGGGCAGGGACTGGCCCAGGCGGGGGGCGGGGCCTAGATACTGGAGGCGGAGGCCCACGCTGAGCCGGCCAGAGAGGGAGAGGCAGGAGGGTGCTAGTCCAGGCCTCGCAGGGACCGTGGGACCGAAAGAGGCCCCGAGGGAGAAGTAGAGACAGAAGGACTCGGGGCCCGCAGGGGGAAGAAGACCAAGACCGAGACATCGTGGGAGGCGCCTGGGACACCGGAGAAACAGGGATAGAGGAAGAGAAAGAGACGGAGGCCAGGAGTCTACGGAGAGACTGACAGAGAAACCGAGGCCGACTTGATTAAATCAGAACGCTGCCGTGGCAGCTGCCTCGGCACGGGCTGCCACCCTCTCCCCTGGTGCCTGGGAAAGGGGTCCTCAGCTCCAATGACGCGCCTGGCCGGGAGCTCCCCTCCCTCCAGGGCGGAATCTAAGACGTGGGGCGGAGCTGGGGGTGGATGGAGTTTCTGGGAAACCGAGGTGTTGGGGCGGCTTGGAGTGGGTAAGGAGGGGCATCACGGCTGCTGGAAGGGTTGTCCCAGGTGGTCAGCCAGGGCGAGTTAGAATTCAGCATCTCTGGTGCTTATCTACGCTGTGACCTTGAGCAAGTCAGCCCATTACTTCAGTGGTAAGGGCTTTCCCACGGAACGGCGTGGGGAAGGGCAGCAGCAGCACGTTCACAGACAGAAGCCCGTTTCAAAAGATGGGAATGAGTGGCCCAAGTCACCCAGCCAGCAGGCTGCAGAGTTTAACGCAACCCTGCTCTGAGGCCACAACCTATGGCCATCTCTGCGGCAGCTGCCGGCTCTGTTGGCTCTGGACTCCTTTGCCCTAGAACACAGAATGTAAGGCCCACGTCAAAGCTTCTGGCCAGAAGCACCTGCACACAGAGATTCGCTCCCTATCCCTCTGCAGGATAGGTTATTCCTTCCTCTTGAAAAAAAACTTCATCCCCACCCTCTTCCCAGCCTCCAAGCAGTAGGACTCCTCCATATTGGTGGACGGCAGGCCCCAAACTTAAGTCTTTTTTGACCCGTCTTTCTGTCGCACCTACACAACCTATCCACAATCTAAACTCTTCGACCCCTCCACTGCCCACCCTGACCCAGCCTCAGTCCTCTCCCTCCTGGAGCATCACAGCTACCTCCTCCCTGTCGGCTACTCTGGTTCAAGTGCCCATAGTCCTCTCCCCACAGGCAGCCAGAGGGAGTCAGGTCTCTGAGCCCTTCTGTGGCTCCACCTCATTCATTCCCAGCCAAAAGCAAAGCCCTCACCTTGATGCCCAAGACATCATTTTGACTTCACTTCTGTCTCCCCTCTGCTCACTCCCTCCAGCCCCCTAGCCTCCCTGCATTCTCCTCCAATTCACAGGTACATTCCTGCCGTGGGGCCTTTGCACTTGCTGTTTCCTCTGCTTGGAGCTTGGAAGCTCTTCCCTCAGTTCTTCCCTTGACTGCCTCTCACCATCAGATCTCAAGTAGACCCTCCCTCCACCATCTCCCTCCCTCTCACTACTCTCCTTGCCTGTTTCTTGTTTTGAAATACTTTAATATTTTAAATTAGGGAATGTTTATTTCAAACAAGAAAATATGTAATAGTCATCTATGTTCCCACCACCCATATAACTGATGTGGACATTTTCCCATTTTTGCTTCAGATCCTTTCTTGGGTGTTTGTTTGTTTGTTTTAAGAAATAAATGATTACAGTTACAGCCAAAGGCTGAGATCCTACCCCTGTTCTCTCTGCCTCGGCCTCCCAAAGTACATACTGCCCTGAAGTTGATGTGTGTTTTTCCTGTGCACTTTCCCATCCTTTTTGTAGGGAAGCATCCACCAACAATATAACATGTATTATTGTTCAATATCTTAAAATGATACACAGTTAGACTCCTATATCATTTTACAACATGCTTTCTCCATCATCGTTTTCTGAGATTTCTCCACATTGACACACAGAGCTCTACTTCATAAACTTTTAACTCTTTTCATGTGTTCATTGTTGGAAGAAACCTCAGTGGATATTTCTTTTTGGGGCCAGTGTAGTTCTTTTCCTCTTTTCCTCTTTTCCCCTGTAGCCTGGAACCTCCCAGTTCCTGTTTCCTTGTCCCAGGAACAGAGTTTCTTTGCAGTTTTGGTTAAACTTTTTTTTTTTTTGCCTGTGAGCTACAACAGGAAATACCTTTTATATTGGCTTCCAGTACATACTTAGAAATATATGTAATGTCACAAAAGCTTCAGGAAACCACACTTATTCACTATTCACTATACCTCATATGCTATGTATTTTCAATTCTATCCTTGTTCTGTTTGGGAAAAAGTGCTGATTGCAATGCACTACATTGGCTTCATGGCTCTTAAAAGGGTCATGACCCACAGTTTGCAAAACATTGGATAGATTGAAGGGGGTGTCTATCTCCAGTCTGAGTAGGCAGGTAGTGCTTAGCTAAACTCAGATTTGCTTGTCCCAATGCGTACTCCCACTTGCCTGTTTTTGTTTGTGCATCTATTTTACAACTTCCAGTCAGGCTAAGGCCACATTCTAACTAAACTTCAGCCCTCTCCTGGACAGTGACAACCACAGGATGCCCACCTTTGAGCATGAGTCCCTAGAAAGAGAAAACCCCTTTCCTGTGCCAACACCTGGGTCTCACCTGTCCTGGAGCAGACTATCCATGTCTGAGGTCCTTAGCAGCTGTAGGTGCTGGGGCCTTGGGGTGCAGTGAGGTGACTCCCCATCACTTGATGGTGTTATCTGAATGGAGGGCACTTCCAGGAGCCTCCAGGGCTCATCATCCTGTGGCTGCTGGCTCTGCCACTCAGCTGGGGAGACAACTGAGTCCTGGGAACCACCCCGGGTCAGCGGGGGCACCCCAGACAGCAGGGGCAAGAACTCAGCCATGAGGAGGGCTCTGCCTGCTTGGTTGGGGGCCTTGGACAGCAGATGTGGTTCTCTGTGGGAGAAAAAAGAGAGGTGAAGGGGAGAGCTCCTGCCCAAGCTCTGCCCCTCCCCAAAAGGGAGATGAGCTAGGTGCAGAGCACAGTATGAGGGTCAGAGAGGTTTGGATGGAGTTTCCACCTCTGCGGGTATCCTCCCCTCACCACCCCGAGCCTCAGTTTCCTCTTCTGGAAACTGAAGGTCCTTATGCTGACATCCTAGGGTGGCTGAGCAGTGTCAGAGAACTGTGACACATGGAGGGCCCAGAACACAGCAAGTGGTCACTGAATATTCATGAAACCTGTTTAGGGCCAGGGTTTATTTTTCTGAGTATTCACCAAGGCCAAGTCCTGGGTTTTCTACAAACGTTCCACCCAGCTCCCTTCCATACACAAGGCCACGAAGGAGCCAGGCCCGAGGGGCTCCAGCGGCTGAGGCCTGGTAACGGCTGATCAGGAGAGTCAGAATCCAGGATTTCCCTTCCCTGTTTGCTCAGCAATTATCCTTCCCAAGACAAACAACAGGAGGGTGGCTGGGCTAGGCTGTGGCCTCCTCAGATGGGATGAAGCCAGGCTGGTTTCTGCAATTGCAGCTGTGATGTTGGAGGCCACCTGGGCCTGGGGAGATCAGATCAGTGTCTGTCTGTCCTTGCAGCAGGGGCTTCTTGGCACCAAGCTGCCAGGGGATAGGGAAATAGGACCTGTGGAACTCAGAGAGGATTTCCCCCAGTTCAGGGAAGACTCTGACTCTTACAGGCCAGGCCTGGACCCCAGGGTCCTTTCCAAACACCCCAATCCTCCTACCTTATGGCTTCTACCTCCTTCTGTCCTCACAGCATTTGGACTTCCAGGGTAAAGGCAAGAGAACAGGCCCTCCCTTCCCCCACGAGTCTTGGCTGGGCTAGGTAGTCATGACCTTGCCAGTTGGAATAGCCTGTTCACTGGAGTCATATTCCCCTCAGGCCAGCTGGGAGAAAGGACAAAGTGGGGGTGGGGGTATGCACACCACAGAGGAGGCTGAAGTTGGCAGTCATCTTGTCCTTCCTTCTTGTCTTCACCCTAGACCTCTACTGATCCATCCTCCTGTTGGCCGGCAGCCAGCCACAGCCTAGCTTCTCTCCCCACTACTCTCCCAGAGCTGCTCCTCGAAGCCTAGGGATCCTCCAGGCGACCAAATCTGACACATTTTCCACTTCTCATCTTCCCACCCTGCTCTTAAAAGCTAGAACCCGGGAGAGCCCAACTCCTTCTGGGAGGTTCTCAGCCTCCAAAATATCACAGTTTCTGGCTCCCACTCCACCTCACTTCTGTGCACAGCTGTGGCTGTGCATCAGCTGTCTCCTGTACCTGATCTATAAAAGTGGTATTCCCTATGGCTTAGGTCCAGGCACTTCTCTCTGACTTTTCCATTTTTATTGCATAATAATTGATACATATTAAAGTCTGTCTGTACCATAGATATGAGTTACAAAGTAAAACAATAAAATGAACCCCATGACCCCCACCCGCCCAGTCTGAGAACCAGCACCCCCAATGAGTGCTTCTCCCCTACCGCCTTAGGCTTCTCCCCCACCCCACCCAGCCATCTTCCATCACTCCCTCATTCGTCAGGTATCATCCGCGCACATTTCTTAATTTTTTGTTATTTTTGTTATTTTTTAAATTTGTTTTGTTTTGTTTTACTTCCCCCACCCCACTCGTTTTTAATCGTGTTTATCATTGTGGTATACATTCTGGTTTGCAGGACCACACCTGACCCATTGAGCCACACCAGTCAGGGCACAAGTCAAATGGGCACCTGGGCTTACAGCTAAGATTGTCTTTACCTTTTCTGATCCCTGCCTTACAGGCAGATTTTTGAGTAAAGTTTATGGTTGGCATTAGAGCTATGAAGAGAAGGAAACTTATTAGAAACCAATGTCCCTGGAACCATGGGAAGGGATGGTGTGTGGACGTGAAATCTCAAACAGAGCAGGGCCACTAAGAACTCCACATGAAGGCTCCCATGTTTCCTGTCCTAAAATCTCTGTGGGCTGAAAACCTCCTGCTTCTTATTTCATTATTTCTGCCTTTCCCACATTCAGGGGAGTAGCAGCCTCCTGAGACTGTCCGCTGGAGTGTCCTCCCAGTGGGGTCGTGTTATGGGTTGAGGGTCCAAATTTTGTGCCAATTCCATAGCATCCTTCCACCTGAAGAGTTGATGCACAGATAGAGCTAATGCTGGCTTCCATTTTCCACTTCTACATGGGTATTCAATAGAGTGTGGGCTCAGGTATTTCTGACAAATAATAAGCAATAATGTGATATTTGCATTCCCCAGATACTTCGAGATTTCCTGACTGTATCTGTCTGTTTCCATTCAACTGTGACTTATGGTTTCTTCTCTGTGTCCACATGGGTTTGGTAAGTTGACTTCTTACCAGATCTCACCCACACTCTCTATATATGTAAGCTTTCTTACCCAAGTGTGTCTGATTTTAACAAATCCCTTCCCACACTCTCCACTCTGGAAAGTCCCAAATTCTCTGATATCCTCCTCAAGTACTTTGCCCAATCACTGAGCTAGACTGAGCTATGTTTCTATATAACTGATGAGTTTGCAGGTGCTAACTGGCTGTTTCCTCCCAGCCACCTTCTGCCTTGGCCTTGCAGACAGTGTTGTCGGGCCTCTGTTTCTCATGAAATTGCCTCATCTCTCCAGCATCTTGGATTCACGTGTTGGTGCTTCTGCTCTCAGAGGAAGACGCCCTATCCAAGACCACTTCCTGCCCTTAAACTTGGGGCCATCTGGGGAGGAAGCTTGGTATACCTTGAGTTTCCCACGCCTCAGCACCTTGACAGAAACAGGGCAGGAGCGATGAAAATGGTGTTTTTGCATTGTGTCAACCAGAGGATTAAAGACTAGTCCTCCCAAGGGCTTCTCCCTTCTCCACAGCTTTTCCCTCACCAGCTAGTTTTCTTTTTTGCCTCCTTATTTTGTATATTTTATTCTCCTAAAAACTGGAAGGAGGGACACAAACAGTCTAAGAAAGGATAGTCTGTTCTACTTCTCAAAACCAAAAGAACTGCACTTTTTTTTTCTGATCATGTGGGTTAATTTCTACAAGGATATGTCAGGACCATATATATCCTTTTCTGTTGAAAATAACTGCTTTGGAGGGATCTACAATGCTCTGTGGAACTTCCATCCAGCATTTTGCCCAGACTGAAACTCTTCAAAGAAACTTCTGGATATTGGAGGCTTCATTCCAGCAGTGACTTTGGGTAGCCTTTTGATAAACTGCAATGGTTTTCTAGGTTGTCTCTCCTCTCACTGACACACACCTTGTACGCTGCTCTTCTTGAAAATGGGAACTAGACCATCGACGGCTGAGCCTAGTCCTAGTAGCCAATGATCTTACAGTCCTCATCTGTGAAACATGGAAAATGTTATTACCTACCTCAAGGGCTTTTGAGAGACTCTAATAAGATAACAGAAGTAAAATGCTTAGGCTGGGCTTGGGGCATGATGAGTGCCCAATCACAGCTATTATCATATGTTCCAGGGGGTGAGGGAGGAGCGTTTACCTGAACACCCACGGGTCATGGCTTCTACAACCCCGCTATACAAGATGCTGGGAAAATAGAGCCAGAAGAAACATAAACATTCTAGAATGCTTGTCATGTCCCCATGTTGGTTTTGTTTAGCTCTAGGTGTTTTTACACACCACTTATAAAGCAAATTCTTAAAATAAGAAGGTGATGCATACTTGCTTGCAAAGACACCAAAGAAGGGAGGAACTGGAAAAATTTCCTTTGGCTCCACAGTCAGGCCTGGGAGGAGGACAGTCCTTTGAACAGGGTAAGTTTGGAATGGCTATTTTTTTCTGTTTTATTTATTGATATTATGCATATTTTAGATTTTATTTTGAAAAATTAAGTATGGATAATTTTATAGGAAACAACTAGCCTTGCCCCTAAATCCTGAGAAAAGGAAGGGCAGGAGTCGGGGACCTAGCCACACAGCAGGGAAGGAAACAGGCCCTGCAAGGAGCAGACACCTCTAGCTGGAGCACATTCTCACAGGTGCCCACACTGCAGTGGAGGGGGTTTGCAAATCTGCACTGACAAGCTGGTTAGAACAACTCTCAACTCTGTCTTTTTTTTTATTTTTATTATTCATTTGGGAAGTCAAAGGAATGTTAGAAGATAAAGGATTCCATTAAATCAGTGAGGGGACAAAAGAGACAGGTCTCACTTATGTTACCCAGGTTGGAGTGCAGTGGCTGTTCACAGGCATACTCCTGCTGTTACAGGGTGAAGCCCAGAGGGGGGACCCAAGTAGGGATTTGGAATGGGGTCCAGAACTCAAGGTGTCCAGGAAATATTAGGATGTCCTCACCCCTTCCCCCCCACAGGTGTAAGTTGGGGGAAGGAACACGTGGAGCAGGAACATGCAGAGCTATTTTGTACAGCAAAGGCTTTGCAACTAATCCATGGCGTGGTCATTTAACATACCTATAACCTTTAACTGGTTGCATAGATATGTTAAATAGCTGTGGCCCATGCTCTGAGCCAGGGGAATGGAAGGGACTTCCACCCAAGATGTAACTGGGCGGGGCAGGTCCCTCTGGTTACAGTGCCTGCATGAGAGCTTGGAGAAGATTGGCTCCATGACATGGGGCCACACCTGCCCAGGCTCACTATGGCAGCCCAGTAAACTTAGAATAATACAGGAATGCTGGCAGGTGTAACTGATTGTAGGAGGAGTTGGAAATGGGGATACAGAGGAAGGTTGGCATGGGATTTAAACCCAGACATGGCAGCCATTGAGAGGAGAGAACCACATGGTTTTGCCAGAGTGGGGAACCCTGTGTCTTTGGGGTGCACCCTTTGGCCACATGGCTTAAGAAGTAGGAGAGACTTTGCCTGGAAGAAAAGGGGTGCGAGGACTTTTACTGGTAGGCCATGAGAAGGTGCCACATGGTTTTGGATTAACTGAAGATCTTGATGACATAGCTGATGGTGCCAGGAGCCTAGATCACGGATGTCTACTTCTTTTCCTGAGATACGGTACCCCAGATTAGGGCAGAGGGAGAAGGAAGGACTGTGTGTGTCTGTGGGTATCCTAAAGGACTTTGATATTTTAATGAAGGCATTAGGTCACTACTTTAAGTCTGTATAGCTTTAAATAAACATGTCCTTTCCTTTTCACAAATCTATAGCATTGAGAGACGTCTTTCCTTTGGCCGAGGACAATGCGTACCTATTAGGGGGTACTTTCGGTAATAGTATATCGTACCCCCCTTGGCCCTGTTCTGTAACACCGCTACTGATCAGCAAGGGTGTTTTGACCTTCTCCATTTCTGACCTGGGCCAGTTCACCCAGGTCAGAAATGACCTCTTTAGGCAACCTCATGGTCCCCCACTCCCAGGAAGTACCCATACTGATGCTGACCTTAGTGTGGACACATGACTGGCATAGCACACTGCAGCCTAGAACTCCTGGGCTCAAGAGATCTGCCTCAGCCTCCAGAGTAGCTGGGACTACAGGCCCGTGCAAATGTGTCTGGCCATTCTCAATTCTTGCACATTCAGCAAACCACTACCTATTCTCAGAACTGAGAGGAAAAGTCTGGCTACCACCACTGCATCACCCAAGAGAAAAGATGAAAGATCCACTGAAAAAAAATGTACAAGAATGATAATGCACAAGAGATGATCTTAAAAGCAGTGGAAATAAAAGATAGATAACCAATATGAAACCAAAATTTCTGCTGATTTTTCAACAGCAAAAACAGAACAAGAGGCCAGAAAAGCATGCCTCCCACATGCTGAGAGAAAACAGTTGCCAGCCCAGAACTGTCTTCCCCGCAGTCTCACAAAGCTGGAGATGAATTAAACA